GTAGTTGTCTTTGTTCGTTTTTGCTGTTTTCGTTCTTGCCCTGGCAGGTACTTTGATTCTTTGCGGCGGAATGTGGAAGAACAGGCCAAGTCTTCTGGGGTTCGACGTCAGCATCCTTCAATGTTAACCCCGGATTAACTAACCAGTCCGTTTACCAATAGTGATGAACCCCCAGAAAAAGAAAAAAGAAAGTACCGAGTACTTACCCACCCGCATGTCCGAGGTCCTTCCACCCCAACACGCCGCTCATGCGCGCGCGAATCACGTCAGGGCTGCACGCACGCTGGCATATGATAAATACACCAGCTCCACGCGCATCACGTCAGAGCTGCACACACGCAGGCACATGATAAGCACACCCTGTCACGTGCATCACGTCAGAGCTGCACGCTAGTTGACACCTGAGAAGCACAGCGGTTCACGCGCATGACGTCAGAGCTGCACGCATATCGCGTCAGAGCTGCACGCGCACTGGCACATGATGAGCACAGCCCATTAAGCGCGTCGCGTCAGGGCGCATGACATGCACACCCGCTACCTGCCATGTGTGCTGAAATGGTCCAGAACTGCACATGTTGACCTGAGATGCAGCTGGCCTGAGTTCATGCCCCACAACCCCAGAAACACGCATACTTGTCAAACTGTTCAAGACATGCAAAAAACGCGCGGGTGACTATGTACCCGGCGCGCACTAAAACGGGATATTAATCTGGGGTCAACATTACAGCAACATTGGGCCGGTGTCTCGGATCGTGGTTCTCGATCCGCAGGACTTCACAATGGTTCTACTTTACGCGTGGCATGTCATGCCTGTTGTTCCCTTTTCCCATGTCTAAAGCCCACTGTCCAAAAAGCAGTGGTTGGGGTTTCTTGCAGTCTGTTTTCTGTTTGTGTGACTGCCCACCGGCATCCCAGCGGAGGATTGGAAGCGCATCTTTGGAGTAATTGGCTTCAGTGATGGTCAAGCTGCCAAGGTGCATTCAGACAACCCGAATGTTGATGTGGATTGGTGGTTGGGATTTGTAGTTGAACCCCTTCTTGCAGAAGGACTCCATGAGACACCACTGACACCACCCGTTTCACCTCCAAACCCGAGTTCTTGGGACGAACCATTGGTGTAGATTGTGCATCCGGGCGACCAATTTTCACGAAAAAGGAATCCAAGAGGAACAAACAAAAACAACCCAAAAAGGAAGCTAAAAAGGAGCCCAAAGGAACCCCGAAAGAAGACTAAACAGAACCAAAACAAAGCCAGAAGGAAACTAGGCAATACTATGCATTTCTGGTCTAGGTTCGCGCCAGGGAGTGGAGTTTGAGCCCGGCACGCACACGCCGGGCGCATCAGTCACGGATGCACTGGTGGAGCGGGCGTGGCAGCCAAAACAAAGCAAAGATACAATCCGCACAACAGAAGTTGTAACCTCGCAAAAGGGTTTTGGTACTGTGGATGGACGAAATCCTGCACCACCTAAAGAAACCCTGGAATGATTCACCCGTGAATACCAACAAACAATGGTTTCCCATCGCTTTGAAGTGGTGCGAAATGGATTTCGTCCATCCACAGTATGTTTTGGCCTGTGACCTCCATGAAGCTTCATTTCTTGGGGTGGGCATGTCTTATTTGAGCATCAAATATTCAAGCACTGGCGCTTGGGGAGTTTCTTGGCACAAAGTGCGCAGGAAGTGGTTTTTGCAGCTTGCCCACCCGTCAGAGAACGAACAGCACAGCACGTTGGGAGCCTTCCGCGGTGGATCTCTTTGGATCTCTTTGGACAAAGGCCCTGCCCATGAAGCACTTCATGCGGACAAACCGAGCCGCACCAATCAGGAAGGTCTTCTTGGGGGGTTCCTGCCGTGCTTTGGATCAACTCTCAGATTTGCAGACATTGCCTGAACACCAAGAATCTTGAAGATCTATGCCCACCACCATATGGGATCCTGGCTCTGGGGAGGGGGGGATGAAGCCGAAGTGGGCACTGCGGGTGGGTTGTGAATCATAGCGGGGCACTGTGGGGCAAACATGACCGAGGTGCTTGCCATGTCATGGAGCTTTTGTTTTTTTATTTGGCGGACACCTTCAGTTTGAACAACTCGCATGATGATAGCCACAAAGGAAGGGACTCGGAGAGATGGCGTGTGTGATCTTTTAAATCCGCGCAATAAGAGTTGGAGTGCGCAGTCAGATGTTTAGCGCGCAAGGCCTGACGCCGGCTGAAGGATCTGAGTCAGGAAGTCAGATCTGTACATACATACATACATACATACATACATACATACATACATACATACATACATACATACATACATACATACATACATACATACATACATACATACATATACATACATACATACATACATACATACATACATACATACATACATACATACATACATACATACATACATACATACATACATACATACATACATACATACCTACATACCATACATACCTACATACCTACATACCTACATACCTACATACCTACATACCTACATACCTACATACCTACATACCTACATACTACATACCTACATACCTACATACCTACATACCTACATACCTACATACCTACATACCTACATACCTACATACCTACATACCTACATACCTACATACCTACATACCTACATACCTACATACCTACATACCTACCTACCTACCTACGTACCTACCTACCTACATACCTACATACACGCAAGTCGACATACGGGCATGCATACAGTCATGCTTGATGCTGCGATCAGATTGGCGATATTCCGGAAAACAAAATGGCTGCTAACAAAATAGGAATCGGGTTGCCCTTGTAAATGCTTAAACGTAGACTCAAACCTGTGGTCCCCTGGAAATCTCTTAAATTGTGAGCCACACCCATTTGGGTCTGTCATTTTTCAGGGTACACCTTTTTGTTGGCTGGTTTAAAAAGCAAACCAAAATGACAACCCGCATTTGAGGAGTCCAAGCTCAAAGACGAGCCACCCCTATGGGTTTGTCTCAGGGGACCCCCCAAATGAGCCACAATCAAAACCCGGCCATGAATAGTTGCGGCCACCTCTGTATTTCCTGACCTGGTTCCGGGTCAACCATGTTAATGCCGGGTTTTGAGCAAGTGACTCAAAATTTGACCTTTTGGGGGATTCCCCTCTAAAGACACAGGGGGCGTTCCATCGCTGGCTCAGTTGCTGGGCCTTCCATGGCGGCCTCAGCGAGAACTTGGAGCAGCGGCCCCAAAAGAAGACAGCGGTCGGGCGGTTCGGTCGGCGTGGTTTGAAGCGTTTTGCAGGTGGGTTGCAATGACTCAGCTTCCCAGCTTGTTTGTTTTTGTATGTTTGTATGTGTGTGTGTGTGTGTCTTTTTAGTGCGTGTGTGTGTGTGTCTTTTGTGTGTGTGTGTGTTTTGTTTGGAGCTTCTCTCTTTTTGGCGGGGGAGGTTACTCTGTTGGGGTTGATTGGGGAGGTACCCTTTTTGGGGAGGTACCCCTTTTTGGGGTTGGTCGTCAGTGCCAGGTTACTCCTATTTGTTGGTATGGGCCATTGGGGATTTGAGTTCCTGGTTCTTGAGGGTAAAATGGGAAGCCAGCCCCAAGCCGATTCGGCTCCAAAATCGGGCTCCAAGCCACCACCTAGTCTAGGTGGTTTGGAGCCCGGTGGTTTGGAGCCCGGTGGTTTGCTTCTTAGAGGGTAAGGTAACTTTCCCAGCTGCCCCTCAAAGGATCTTTTCCGGACAGACTTTGTTAGTGCCCGCATCATTGGAATTTCCCATTGGGGGCAGGGATCTCCATCAAGTCTTGGACAAGGCCCGAAATGGTGCCAAGATTCTCAGAGTCGATTCCAACTTTTAGTTGTCTCATGGATTCACTGTAGTTGGCATGTTTTAGTTTGTGTTGTTCTTTTGGCTCTGTTCATTTCTAGTAGGGGGCTGCATGTTTGCTACCATACCAAGGGATTGAGATGGTGCAAATATCTGCAAATAGCGACCAACTAGTTCTGTAGACCCTACTGTAGACCTACGTCCCCGCTTGGGATTGCGCAAGGTGCTGTTCGGTTTGGCGGTAGCAACTGTAGGCTTGAATTCTTGCTGGAGCTTGAAAGGGGTTGGCAAGCGCTTCCCAATCCCAATGACAAGTGTCATGGTGAAATGGCCTCATCCTAATAACGCCGAGAATGATTCCTATGAAGTGGACCATGACCATATAGGCCGCATACAGGATTTTCACGTGGCACACAAAAAGGTAGAAACATCGCAGGTACAAATGGCCATGAATTTTAATAGGGAACCACCTCAAAAGTGATGGACCAGAAAATCCCCACCGAACTCTGATGTCCACCAAAGGGTCCCTTATTAAAATTCATAGCCAAATGGGTTGCAGCACAGGGTGTGGTTGGATCCAGGGACCCTTTGTGGGTAAATTGTCCAAAGGTGTTTGGCATTACCTGGAGTCTCCGTGGTTGTTTTAAGAATGGGCTTGTCTAATCTACCAAACATACAGGGTCATGTAAATCCCCATGTTTTAAGGGGTCGGAAGGAGAACTCCAGGTACGTGTTTGCCGTTTTTTGTTTGTTTGTTTTTTGCCGGTTGGGGCGGGCCGTTCTTTTGGGGGGTCGGAGGTCCATCGTGAGCAACACCGTGGCGGGCTTTCAGCCTCTCACTGCAGGCTTCGGACCGGCTTCGAATGGACCGACTTGTTTGGGATCAGCACGGAAAATAGCATCCATCCAATGCACTTGGATTCTGGAAATTCGGCGTATGTGTCAGAACAGGATTTTTTGGACCGAACATGATGGCAGTTGCAGAAGAGCCCAAGGGTATCCTTCCTCCCACAAATAGTACCCGGAAGGTGCGGGGATTGGTGGCAGGGGACTGGTGGCAGGGGACTGGGATTCTGGAATTTCTATGTGTCTTGGTCTTGCTTCATCCATCCCCTTATCCCAGATGGGTGGCATTTGCACCTTGGATTCTTGGAAGCTATGCGTCACGGGGATTCGGAGGCGTTCCTTTCCTTCTGAGCCCAACCTGAAGAGGCGAGCCTCAAAGCACATCCAGGTACTTCCTGCAAAAGCAGCACGGCCCCCATTTCAATTGATTGAATGGTTTAACCAAGTCGGAAAGTCAGCCAAAGCTCTACCAAGTGGGTAGCTAACTCCCAAGCTTAATACAATTTGTAAGTTATGTACGGACATTCTATCTCTTCATTCCCCTTCCCGCAAGAAACCTCCGGTTGGAAGTTATCATCGCTCGTGTCAGGGTGGTCACCCCAGTTTTGGCCTGCGGCTGTCAGAATCCGAGGCGTCGAACCCGGGGTCTCCAACATGATTTGGGCGGTCTACATGGGTGTGTCTTTGTTTGAGGGTACCCTTTTTGGGCTTGGCTTAAAGGAAACAAAGAGAGAAAGACACCACTTTGGGGGTAACCCAAATATAATCTCTGAATCCGAACTCCTTTTCTGTGTACCCTTTTCTTGGTAGATGTTCGCTTACGGGAGGCTCCCGCGGGAGCAACGTCTGGGGCTCCGGCACCTACTTCGCCAGAGATGCCAAGCTCGGGCCCCGGGCCAGTGTGGGCTCAACCGTGGATGGACGCGAATCCTGAAATCGCACCGCTGAAGAAACCATAATTGAAGCCATGGTTTCTTGGCATTTGCCATGGAATCGAATCAGAAACCAGGGGTTTCTTAGGGGTGCGATTTCTGGAGTTTGTCCGTTCACAGTAGGTGTCTTTTTCAGGTTATAGTTTGGTTAAGAATAAATGGGTTCCACTGCTTTAGCTTGGGTTTCATGCCCCATTTACCAGGGAGACAACTATTCTAGGTCCCCCAGTAGTGCCCTTTTACTAAAGGCCCTTTTACCCTTTTTGGGGGGAGTCACCTTCTGGGAAACGGTCTTGGGGGTCTACCTGGAGTCGGTAGCCCGAACCAGCAGGATTCGTATAGACCAGAATCAGAACAAACATGGATGTTTTTAGGACTCAGACTATCCCAGAGGGTCTCTTGGTACCTTCTAAGGAGGCAGGCAGAATCCCTTTTTCGAAGCTTCGCGATGACGTCGGAGACGCCAGCAGCTACATGGACGCCTGTGCGGAATGGAGAAGTCATGGTGGACCTGGTGACTCTGAGCAAGGCTGGCACGAGGAGAGCTAGGCTCGCGACAAGGAGGACTAAATCTGGGGTCAGAGGCAGAATTCGCTGCCTTCGCTCGGAGTTGTGCCGCGCTGCAAGACATGAGGCCGTTCCTCATAGCTTTCACGAGATGCTGCAGGGTGAACTCTTTGAGTCTGAAGAACGTGTTGCTCACTCCACTAAAAGCCTCGAGTGACAAGATGAGCAAGTTCCAGGTGGCGTTCCAGAAGGTGTGTGCTCTAGGGATTGCCCTCCCGGACATTCCGCACTTGATGGGATTGAACAACCTTTCTGGAAAGGCATTCTCAATTGCTGTTTTTGAGCAAGGTAGGTGCAGTTTGCCGTTTGCTTGTGCCATATGTGTTTGCTTAGATGTTTCGAAGGCATTTCGTTTTTTTTTTTTTTTGGTCGTGTGGAACGTCGCCTTCTGGGCGAAGTTGAACGGCTTCCATCAAGTAGCTTTTTGCATACGGTTAATGCTGGATGTTTTTTCCCAACCACTTTTGATGAGCTAGGCAGGCTCATTCAACTAGTTTTCACTCTACCAGAATGATTTCATCTGGTGACCTCTTTTACGATAGACCCCTTTTTACTCCCAGAAGCCATCCTCAGGAGGTCTGGGTGTGAGCATGTGATTGTTTGTTGAGCTTGTGCGGTGGAACACCATGAAACATCCAACAATCGATCTGTCTTGAGTTGTGTTTGCATGTTACCTCCAAATGCTTTAGATTATTGAAACAAGTGAACTCATGCTCAGCTTTATAACATGTAGACCAGGATCGAAGGTATGGCTGTTGAAAGCTAGTTGCGGTCCGAATCAGGGTTTCTGTTTTTGAGCTGGCCGGTTGATTTGGGTTTCCCCGTCCCCGGTTGCGCTCTGGGTTGCGCCTTGGATGTTTGGCCAAGGTTCAGCCCCACTCAATGGGGGGGGGCATGTTGAGTGGGTTATGACCAAGCGTTTACCAACAACTTACTAACTTGCCCGAACACACAAGTAGGAAACCCTCAAGAAAACCGTGGCAACCCTCTAAGAGAGGTTGGTTTGACAGCGGTTTTGTTCGATGTGTTTTTTCGGGTTGGACCAGGGCCAAGCAAGTTGGAGGGCCGGACATCAAAATACTGGCCTTGTTTTTTCCTTCGGACTACTTGGTAAGGAAACTTTGGAGAAATGCTCGGTAGATAATCCCAGTTCGGAACATAAGCGTATAATCGCGTATGAATTGAAGTGAAGAGAGCAAGACTATGAACCGCGGTCTTTGCGCTTTGGGGACCCCCGGATTTCGTGGCGACTCGCGTGGCGACGGAGGTACGTGTGCGAGGGCGGCTTTTGTGGGAAGCCGGCGGCGGACGGCACCCGGCAAATGCTGATGCCCGGCGCTCGTTGGGGTGAGCCCTCCGATCAAAAGGTCCGATGAACATAGGATGACCCTTGGGCCATTAAAAGAAACAACAAAAACGATGCGATTTCCCACTATACTTGGAAGATGCCCATGGTCATGTGGGGGCCTATTGCTTTAACCCGCCCATTTTGAGGCAAACCTGTTATTAGCATCTTGGTAGAACCAAAGGTCAATAGAGTTTCGGAGCATGTTCTCACATGCGCAAAGCGCCAGCCAGTTTTGGCACGGGGACCCCCCCAAGATGGCTGGTGTTCCTTTGAGTTTTCCCTTTCAAACCAACCACAAAGGGCTGCCACCCTCCAACTCCCCAGTTTACAGGGATTGTTGCCCCCCAACATTTGAGTGATGCTTCTTTTTGAGGCGAGTTTGAGGGTCCAGGTACGCGCATCCCCAGTCATGGGTGGCCTGAGGTGCCTTCTGATGACGGGAATTCCTTGTCTCGGAGATGTCGGGCACAAAGGGGCGGGGAGCCCCGATGGGACGAGCCGAGCCGAGCCGAGCAGCCGGGTGCCTCGGTTTTGGTTTGGAGTGGGTACCCATGTGTGGCCTCAAAGGACCACCAAACATACGAGAAAAAAAAGAAAAGAAAACAGGGGGGGGAAACACCAAAAAAACACCAACCCATCATTTAGAGGCATCCCCAATTGTTGCGTGGGATTTGAGGGTCCAGGCATAGAAATTAGCGCCAGGATCTAGCGGAGGCCGCGGGGCCGGATGAAGCCGGTAGGACTCAACGAGTTGTGCAGTGGAAATTCCACCCTTTTCGTAGCTTCGAAATGGCTGTGGTTGTCAAAACCGTTTTGGATCCCATTTTGGGGGTTTTCGGTGCACCATGTTAGAACCTATTTTAGTGGTTGGATTGGGATGTTCACTGGGGGTACGATTTGGATTTTGACCCATGGCCAAATGGACAAGGAGGCTCCCTTCCCCTTTTGTTTTGGTTCTGCCGAACCGATAGCTTGGCCTTTGTTTGGGATCTCTGGGAGGACCCCAAGGACCCAAGCCGCGTGACACGGTTTGCATGTCAACTGCTGGCATCCCTTCGGGTCGCTTGTCAATCGAGAATTTTATCAGCTTCACTGGTCTTCTTCTTGGCGTGTAGGTGATTGTATGTTTAGTAGTTATGTTTTTGTGTTTAGTTTGGTTTTGTAGGTTTTTGTTGGTTTTTGTTATGTTTCTGTTTAGTGGGCTGCAAACAACAAAGTCTTCGCTACCATACCCTTTGGCTTGGCAAGGTCCAGTTGAGTGAAGTGCCTGGAACCTCAAACCCATAAACATTGGGGATTATTGACCCCAAACAGGTGTTTGGTGATTTCCCTTTTTAAGGGTACCTGAAGTCTCCGGGTCCCCTCGGGTATGGGGTGACGACCACTTGGTAGATGAGCGCAGGAGAATTGTTTTCAGTTCCCTTGGCGAGGGCAACTCTGGGGCATCTACTTTCACGCTGGCCCTGGCACAATGGTGGCTTTCCATGAAAATCCGAGGCCCATCGGTTCCTTTACGATTTATCAGGGCGGCCAGTGTTTTTTGTTGTTGTTTTTTTCGAGTTGGTACCCGGCTCCTAAAAAAGGACACGCCAACCACCTGCAGCACTTGCAGAACAAATCTCACAAGTCGGAGCGTATGAAACATTTGCCTCACGGGATATGGCAGGATCAAGTCACCCGATGTGCGTTGAAATTGGTGTGACCCCCCCGCAGAAATTGGCTTTGGAACCAAGCCAGAACCTGAAAAGGGTGCCCAGCCTGCCTGGCCTCAACAAGAGAGTCTGGCACTCCAAATGTTGGGTTTTAGCTATTTACAAGGGCCTCGTTTTTTTCAGCAAAACCATCCGCTAGGTCCTGCCGTACCGGAACAAGCCCCACCGGTACCATTCCTCCGTGGACAGCCTCTCCAGCACCTCGGACAGGGGAATCCCGAAGCGGGTCGGGTTCTCTGAGGCTTTAAGGATCCCTGAGATACCCTGAGGAACCCGAAAGCTCTCAACTACCCACCCCTTAGAGGATTCCATAAATCATGGAACTACCAGCCCCTTATCAGGTCATGGAAGTGCTTCCCCAAAAGGAAAGAAAGCTTTCGTCTTCCAAAACCCTCCGATTGTCAGCTTTTCATGAGTGGGAGGGAATTTCGGATGGCAGGTCATGTACCCCCGAAATTACTCAGGAAAGCAACATAGAACCTGGACAGCTGAACCGGTGCCAACAAAGGCGAAATGGCTGGGGCTCAAGGTCAGAAAACTTGGGCAAGCGCCGCGCGTTTTTTTTGTCTTCTTTTTTTTTCGTCTTTCCCATTCACCAGGCTGCCACCCATGTGGTTTTTTGGGATTCCTATTTTTGGAGACACATGATCTTCCAGGAGAAGCTGTGCGGAACTTGGATGGATTTGCTCCATGGCACGGGCATTCCGACCCCGAGTGAAGCCCAAGATGGAGCCCTTGGTCTTCGGTGTGACCCACCATGGGCCCCAATTTGGGCCTTTTTTTGCAAACAACCGGCTTGACCACCCCAAAGCTGATGGACCTTTTGCTCGGGCCTTGGAGTTGGTACTCATTTCGAGAATCCAGTAAGAAGCCGGCGCCACTTTCGGGGATCCCTTTGAGAAACACCCGGACGCTCAGCTCGCCATGCAGTAGGTCCAACAGGATTGGGGGGTCTTTCAGCCCCCCCAATGAATCTGGTCCCGATCCGCTCCTTGCTTGGCCAATGGGAAAGCGAACGACCCTCGTGTTTGTTGGCGCCATGGCAAAATTGTGTGCCAGGAGGATGCAGGGCTTGTGTCTTCTTAGTTGATTGTTGGACCAACATGGTAGAAACACAATTGAACATATGCTTCTCCGGCCGGGCAGTATTTTTAGATGTTGTGTTTCAACCAGCAGCCCTTGAGACTATGGAAAGAGTTGGTAGCAAAAGTGTTCTCGGGGAATTGTTTAATGAGACGTTGAGATTAGTTGGAAGCATAGATGTGCCCAGGTCACAGTGGGCTGGTTTCAACCCAAGTCTGTCTGAGCATGGATTGTCCTGGTTTTAGTTTGGTTCTACTCATTTACCAATGCCATTTGTGCGTGTGTTTAGTTGGATTGTTTGTGCTTCAAAGAAAGACAATTTTGGAACCCATCAATTTTGTGGGCCCCCTATTTGGAGACACACCCGTCGCTGCTTTAAGGGTTTCGGGTCTTGCCGAGAGATTTGTGTTGGCCCAAGGTCCAGAGATCTTTATCGTGCAGCATGCTGGCGCCGCACTCGGTAGAGCGCACTCGATAAAGATTTCACGTTCAGTGATCACTTCCTGAGTTCCTGGACTTTATGCTTTTTGGGAATACCATTTTAGTGGCAACCGACCAGTTCGGACTTTTCTTGGTCATCCACTCGATCGGAAGTGCGAGTGTTCCTGGCACGGGGTAAGATGAAGACCTCTAGCAAGGACTTCTTTGACCTCACGGGGCATTTTGAGCCACTTGCTCGCTGCATGCGGGTGCCACTGAAGGTTAGGGACAGTTCCAACCAGCTAGAATTCGCTGCGGAGCCCCGCCGTTGTAACTTCTTTGCAGCGGTTTTTGTTGGTGTAAACCATTTGAAGACCGGAGTTTTGCTTGTGACTCACATGGGCTCATCTTTTCGGATTGGGACTGGGACCATGTGGCGGTGCCCCGTTTTCCATTTGGATGGCCCTCAGCTCAAGAACCACAACCAGAAAGAGGTACCAACTCCAAAACAAAATTCTCAACCTTTGGACTCCCGTTTGGCTTAAGGGAAACCAATTTTTCGCTGAGGGGGAAACGATTAGTATGATAACGATTATGATACCTCGGGATTTCCCGAGCTGAAAGAGCACTAGGCCCCCTAGCAGTGTCCTTTTACCAACTTTTTTGGTTGGGAGGGTTCCCCTGCTAAGATAGACTACAGAAGAAAGTTGGTACCCTTATTCTAACCTCTCGAATCTGGAGGACCTAGAGCAGTGACAGCTTGATCCCTAAATCCCTTTGGCCATTGCGTGGCGCCAAGGCGTAAGTAAAAACGAGGCGATGCCGTTCCCCAACTTGCCTGCCTTTTCCTGCATGCCCAAAATCCCCTTGGTACTATTCAAAGAGGAGTGGTTGGGGGGTTCTGGAAAGATGATTGTTTTTGAGGATACTCCTTGTCGGTTGGTTCAAAGGGAAACCAAAGGATAACCACCATTTTAGGGGGGGTCGACACACCCAGATGGTGTATTTTCCCCTCTTGGTTTTAAAGGGAATCTATCACTGCACATATTATCCATATTATTAGTTTTCCAGGGGGACAACAAAGCACATGGAGGATTCCCGCAGAGCGAGGTGCTATGAGCCCTCGAAACTTCCTGTTTTGCTTCACCACTCATTGCAGGCTACGTCTCACACTCATGTGCTCTTATGCACACATGCGCATACACACACACAAAGACACGAACACATACACATACACGCATTTTTGAATGTGTACAGCGCATGTGCAGACACACGTGGGCGACATCTACATATAGTGCACGCACACATGTGACTTTTGAAGCCTTGTTGCGTGCGTACATGTGACAGCACTTGCAAAGTGTCTCTGCATTTGATGCTTGATATAGTCCTGCACATTTGATGTTGCATGTCTCATATCCTGACATGTACTTACAGCACCATCCACTTGCACATTTGCTCTCCCGGACTTGGCGTTTTTTGAGGCACCCTGAGGGAACAACGGCTCATGAACCCTTGGTTGATATGGCGACGTCGCATTTCAGAGCAGATCCGTAGCTTAGCTTGTTCGGGAACGAGGTTCAATCCCAATGAAAGGAATGGTTGACCCAATTTGGTTTTATTAACCCCCATTGTATTAGTGGTGGCTCGAACCCCAGGGGGACACCTTCTCCTTTTATTCACCGGGTGGTCAACATGTTGCTTCGGTCGCTTGCTTTTTCACCCGCGAGTTTTTGAATCGAGGCGGCGCTCTGCCGGTGTACCTGATCACCTTCGAGTAGCCAGCGAATGCCTTGCCCGCCTCGCGGCCGTCCCAAGGTTTTTCGTAGGTCACTGGTCACGACTCGCCACACACACACGCCCAAGTCATGATATATCTGCGGCTCGCTGTGTTGTATTGACCCCTGTGGCAAGTGTCCAGCTGAATGTCTTTCGCTGGAAGAACCTTGCAGACAGCACCGGGGGATGGTTACAGCCAAGCTTTTAAGCTTTCTGCGGCAAAGAACGTACAGATAGATGGTCTTTTGGACAGCACAGTCTGTCCAAGGATCGCAGCTTTGTCATTGGGGGGCCCGGGTACCATTTCCGGTGCCTTGAACGAATGCTCATCAGTGCTTGCGTTTGCCGCTTGAAACGGCAAACTAAAGTTCCACATATTCCAGCTAGTCCAATCTGAGTTGTTCATAAAGACGCAAGTATCTTGCAACCTCCTGACAACTTTGCTTCTTGGTTGACCCAGATACGTTTCGAGTCTCCATGGTTGAGTAATGTTGAGTCTTGAGTATAACTAGGTCCCCAGTAGTACTAAAATAGACTACAGGGAAAAATTGGTTACCCTTATTCTAAGCTCTCTACTGGAGGAACGAGGCTACCTGCATTCTCGAACTAGCCATAATTGGTTGTTGCCCCAAGCAAATGGGACTTTTTTCTGGAGTGGGTAGTTTTTATGGGTCCAGGTATGTATTAAAAAGGGAACTCACCAACCAGAATTCAGAATATAAGCTCTTGAGCAGCGGGTTCCCCCAAGAGATTGCAACTTTTGTAATGAGGCGCCGTGCAGCAGGCAGCCAGCCCGGAATCGGAGCAAGCGCCGTCTCAGCTCTCCTGGGCCGGAACTCATCGCTATCTCGCCAGTCAAGCAGGGGATTCTGTATACATACTTTAGAGCCTCCGGCTCAGTCCGCCGACGTTGTCCTCTCCCTCTTCTCCTTCTTCCTCTCTCCCTTGTCTCCTCCCCCGCGCGTTCTGTCGTCCTCTCTCCCTCCCTCTGCTCCCCATCCTCCCCATCCCCCCAAGCCTCTCTCTCCTCAATCTCCCTGTCTCTGTCTCTCTCTATCTCTCTCTCTCTCTCTATGTGTCTGTCTCTTTCTGTCTCCCTGTCTCCTTCCTGTCCACGGCCCTCTACAGAAAAAGGGTTATTTATTGTATCCTCGCTACTGGAGGACCTAGTCTCTCTCGCTCTCTCTCTCTCTCTCTCTCTTTTTTCTCGCTCTTTCTCTTTGTCTCTCTCTCTCTCTCTCTGTCTTTCTGCGTCTCTCTCTCTCTCTCTTCCTGTGTTTGTCTCTCTTTCTCTGACTCTGGCTCTGTCTCTGTCTCTCTCTCTCTCTTTTTTTCTCGCTCTCTGTCTCTCTCTCTCTCTCTCTCCCTCTCTCTCTCTCTCTCCCGCTCTCTCCCTGTCTCTCTCTCTCTGCATTGCAGCGTCACGTCCCCCCTGAGTTGCCTCGATGTCCGGGCACTGCCCCTTCATGACCTGTCATCTCACTACTGGCTTTCCCCTTGACTTTCCCTTCATGTCCTTTTCACGTTTCCCATGATGTCCTGGTCATGTCCCTTCCATTCCTTTCAACTCCCCCTTCATGTCCCTGTCATTTTCTCGGTATGTCCGCTTCATTTTCCGTCAGTTCCCTACATCTCCCGTCGTGCCGATTGGTTGCCTTGTTTTGGTTCCCTTTCATTCCCCCTGCACTCCCCTTGTTTTCATTCCTGTCCCTTTCATGTCCCTTTGAATTCCCCGTTGTTTCCCTTTCATTTCTCGTTGTTTTCCTGTTATGTTGATTTCTTATTTTCTCCCCGCATGTCCTTGCACTTCCTTGCGTTTCCCCTGTGCATGTCCCGCAGAAAAACACGGTTTTTTCCAGCGTTTTCGCAAAGAGGACGTCCAACAACACGGAGTGTTTCCAGATTTTCGGCAAAAGGAGAAAGAGCCGGCAGGGGGATTCGAGCCTAGGACCCCTGTTTCTCCAGCCCGCTGCCCGAACACTGCGTTTAGTGGAGCGTCATCAAATTGCCGCGCGGTACGATCCCCCCCTAAAACCAACGTATTAGACGTCGGGCGGGGGGGGGGGTAAGGGGGGGGGTTATCCTCTATCCTCTAGTGAGTATCCGACACGCCGAGCAATGTCGGCGGACATTTATTCAATCCGACAAGCAAACAAACAAACACGCAAAAAAGGAAAGAAATAAATAAAGAAAGAAACAAACAACCATACACGCAAAGAAGCACGCACACACACAAACAATTAAGCAGACAAACAATCGAACGAACAAACAAAGACAGAAGCAGGCACACAAACAAGCAAACGAAGCCACACCAAACCAAACCAGACCGGACCAAACCAAAGCCGCCAACCAAACAAGGATTCATGCAATCAAGCAATCAAGCAGTCAAACAATCAAACAATCAAACAATCAGTCAATCAATCAATCAGTCAGTCAGTCAGTCAATCAATCAATCAGTCAATGAAATGAAAATGAATGAAATGAATGAAATGAATTGAAATGGAATGAAATGAATGAAGGAATGCACGAATGCACGAACGAGCAAATGCATGAATGAATGAACGAACGAGCGAGCAAATGAATCAAATGAATGGAATGCATGGAATGAAGGGAATGCATGGAATGAATGGAATGAAAGGAATGAACGAAGGAATGAAGAGAATGAATGGAATGAACGAAGGAATGAATGAATGAACGAATGAATGAATGAATGAATGAACGAATGAATGGAATGAACGAATGAATGAATGAATGAATGAATGAATGAATGAATGAATGAATGAGTTACTGAATGAATGAATGAATGAATGAATGAATGAATGAATGAATGAATGAATGAATGAATGAATGCATGCATGAATGAAGGAAGGAAGGAAGGAATGAATGAATGAATGAATGAAATAAATGAATGAATGAATGAATGAATGAATGAATGAATGATTGAATGATTGAATGAATGAATGAATAAATGAATGAAATGAATGAATGAAATGAAATGAGATGCAATGAAATGAATTAATGAATGAATGAATGAATGAAGGAAGGAAGGAAGGAAGGAATGAATGAATGAATGAAATAAATGAATGAATGAATGACTGAATGAATGAATGAAGGAAGGAAGGAAGGAAGGAAGGAATGAAATGAAATGAAATGAGATGCAATGAAATGAATGAATGAACGAATGAATGAATGAATGAATGAATGAATGGATGGATGGATGAATGAATGAATGAATTAATGAATGAATGAATGAAATGAATGAAACAAATGAATGAAATGAATGAAACGAATGAATGAATGAAGGGATGGTTGGATGGATGGATGGATGGATGGATGGATGAGTTCATTGCTTAATTAGTTGATTAATGGATTAATGACTGAATCAATGACCACATAAGCAACCACATATGTACACAAGTAACTACATACATGAATGCCCGCATAGCATAATTTACAGACATGAATAAACAACCGAACATATAACTAAACCAAAAGAGTCAATGAGTAAACTGCGTACACATATAGACTAGCACAAAAAAGAGTACATCAATGACCAATATTCATTCATGAACACATAAACGAATACATACATAGATATGTAAATTCATGAGTGAGTAGATACATAGATGCCGATCATATTCTTTAATTATATATTGCATACGATGAATCCAGCGCCTCGCATAGACAGTGTCCGCTGAATTGTATCGAGAGGAGTTTGCGGTCGCCAACCAGATCCCCCCTGTTGACACAGACTCGGAGGCAGGGTTCACTTTGGGCGCCTTTTGCACAAGGAGTGTTTTCACTTGACTGCTATTGGGTTGGATCTTCAGACTTTAACTTTTTGGGAAATCCATGGGTTTTCCACTAAACCCACAAAAAGTTAAACTTTTTGCAGAGGGGTCAACAGCAATAAAGTTCAGTGACTCTAAACGTCGAACTTCGCCGTGCGTTGTGCAACGGCTACGAGTTCTAACGATTTTCAGAGTTGGAACCCCCTTCATGGCTGGTGGACAGTAACCCCTGTGTGAATGACATCCACCAAGGAGTCCTGTGGTGACTCAATTTACTCACATACTCAGGTACCCATCCTATGAATCAACCTTTCTACAACCCCTTCCCAAGAACTAACCTTTCCATCAGTTGCCAGACATATTTGGGTATATCAAATTAGGGAGACCCCCAAAGTCAAAGTGGCTTCGGTTTGCCTCGCTTGTTAGCCGACCTCTTGACAGCCGACCTCTTGACCTTTTGGTTTGCCCTTTCTCCATTTTTATCGACCTTTCAGGTCCAAACTGGGCAAGTGAGTCAAAGCAACCCGATAAGAGTACCTGAACTCTCAAACTGTCCATCAAAATGGGACATCACCCTCTTTTTTGGGGGGGCGATATCCTATATATGGGTCGTTTGAGACTTGAATCAGGTCCCCTCACAGAAATCACATCAAAATAGCTTTTTTTTTGGGAGGTCCCGGAACCCCATTTTGTTATAGCTAAAGTATGTTATTTTAATAAAAGGAAAAGCTGAGGGGGACAAAACAAAAAACACTTCATGGGAGGACAAGGGACTGCGCCTGGCTGCCTGCTGCGCGATTTCTGGCGTCCGTCGCCTGGGGTCCTCGATGCTTTAAAAAGAAAAGAAACAGGCGCCCACTTGGTGTGAAACTTGGTGTGACATGAACCCTCAAGCTACGCATAAAAATGGATTGTTGCCCCAACAAATGGGGTGGTGTTCATTTTTTAAAGGGTAGTTTGAGGGTCCAGGTGTCTGTTTTCTTGCGGAATCCCTCTTTTTCTAGGGGTACCAATTACTATTCCATTCTGGGGATCCTTTTTTCCAGAGAACCTCCAGCAACCGAAGGGAATCACCCCCTAGATGTTTGCTTGGGTTCAAAGGGGCAAGAGGAAAACCCCCATTTTGGGGGCAGCCTCAACAAAAGACCCATTTGCGGAGTCAACTTGTTTGACCAACCAGGGTTCACTTCATGCATTTCGAGGATTCCGGG